GGCGTTTTTTACAGCACAAATCATTTGATCTATTTGCAGGAATGTTTTAAGTGTGTGGGGTGTCAGCTTCACTCAGCTTTCCCACAGGCATGCGTCCAGAGGCATATGCGCCTTCTTGTAAATAAATGTTTACCTAAAAAACTAATGAAAATCATATTTAAACAAACATTCTCAGTAGGAATCTTTAAAATGCTTCTGTTAACCATTTAATGTCAGCACAGCTTTCAGCTCATCCTCTGATCTGAACTGAACTGACCTCAGAGTCTTCAGTCCACAGAGTGGACTCTGCAGAAAGCTGCTCAGCTCCTTCATCACACACTCAGAGATGGGGTTCAGGCTCAGGTCCAGTTCTGTCAGATGGGAGGGGTTGGACTTCAGAGCTGAGACCACAGAAGAACAGCTGGTCTCTGACAAACTGCAGCCTTTCAGTCTAAGAAAGAACATAACATGTAGATTCATTTGAATCAAACTACAGCAGAACCTCTACTTATGAAGCCTCAACATACGGATTTTCCGACATATGAAGTAAAATTTGATCAAATATTCGACTCCACACCCAAAGTAAATTTTCTACATGTGGCGTCATAGAAAAAATAATAGAATCTGAAAATTAAATCAAAATAAATAAGTTAAGTTAGTTTAAAGTTCTTGTAGTGAAAGTCAGAGTAACACAGAATAGAATTCTCTTTGTCCTGCCTACATTCATTTGTGATTTTTTTTCTGGGTTTATTGTTTCTCTCTGTTTTCTGTTCCCAGTTTGTATCTTGTTAAGTTTGTTTTCTCCTTGTTGTTTGAAGTTATTCTCTGTTTCCCAGTCCGTATCAGACTGGTCTTAGTTGTGTTTTATAGTTCCACTCATGGTTTGCCTTCCTCATTTTTGGCCAGTTATGTTAGTTTCTTGTTCCTCTCTCTTAATCCGGGTTTTGCCCAGTTCCCCTCTTCTGGTTATTAGCTCTGTGAGTCTTTATCATCAGGAAACCAGAAAAGCTGACAGAGTGAACTAACCTCAGAGTCTCCAGTCTGCAGTTTGGACTTTCCAGTCCAGCAGAAAGATGTTTCCCTCCTGAATCCATCAGCATGTTTCTACTCAGGTCCAGTTCTTTCAGATGGGAGGGGCTGGACTTTAAAGCAGAGGCCACAGCTTCACAGACACTCTCTGACAGTCCACAGTCTGCAAGTCTGTGGTAGAAAACATGGAAAGGAAGCCAGAATCACATCAGCTGATCCACACTGGAAACACAGAGTCAGCACAAACTGTAACTAAACATCTGGATGGAAAGAATTTGATGTGAAATGAATGTGATCCGATCAACATTGTTCTTCATCTGAGGCTCATCTCATCTCACTTTGATGTGACACAGTTATTCTCCTCAGCCTCTCAGACCTGAGCACTTTAAATGGTTTTAGTCATTATTTTATGTCATTCAGCAGATAAATAGAAAAACATGCTGTTCCATTCAGACTGAAGAAATCTCCAGTCTGTCAGTCTGATCTGATCACAGGTCAGAATGAAAATGTCTGCTTCAGAAAACGCCTTTGTTTGTTGGTTTTTAACTAAAAGTCTGTTTACAGTTGGAGAGATGATTTCTTTAAAAAACACCATTGTGAATTGTGACTGTTCACACACTAACATAAGAAATCCTCTCAGTTTCTCAGGCCTCCATTAATTTCTGATCCTATATTAACTAAAGTGACTCATTGGCAGCGTGTCAGGATCCAGAGTTTTTAGAGTCTTTGATTTTTTTAAAATGTTGAGATCACTGATTTTCATTAAAGCTTTTGAGTGAGAACAAATAATCTACAGCTTTAAATCAGCATGTGGTGAGTTTCCTCTTCCAGTCTGAAACACACAGAGAGCTAAATGAAACATAACCTGTCTCCAGCTCCTCCTCCTCCTCTATCAGAGCTGGTGGCTGCAGCAGGACTCTTCATACCTGAGTTTGTGTGGATCCTTCAGAGCAGCCATCAGCAGCTTCACACCTGAATCTCCTGGACGGTTGGAGCTCAGGTCCAGCTCTTTCAGATGGGAGGGGTTGGAGGTCACAGCTGAGGCCAGAGAAGAACAGCCTTCCTCTGAGATCCAACAGCTGGACAGGCTGCAGACACACAGAACAACACAGAAACTCTGAGAGCTGCTCTGAGACTGAAGCTGGATGTTATCACATGTTGATCTGATGATGGCTCCAAAGCACTCAGTCAGCAATCTGACCAATGACATCAGTCTATTAGACACTGTCAGAAGTTTTTAGTCTGAACCAATCTGGAGGATCAACTTGAACATTTCAAACTGCAGTGGAGGTTCAAACTTTGTGAAAGTGTTCATGTTAAAGAAGGAATGAGAACAGGCAGCACACTGAATGTTTGCAGTGCCAGACCTAGGGGAATCTGGGCCAGCAGCAAGGGCTGCACAGGCTAGGGAGGGCTGTGTAACCAGGTTATACAGAGGCTAACTCTGTGGATCAACAAGGAGAGGACCACCGTTAGCATGCTGCTCGTGCTCAATCTGCTTAAGTTCTGAGGCCATGTGTCGAACTAGGTAGCTATCTCCCTGGTGAATCCACAGCCGTAAACATAGCCAAGTACTGACCTAACTCTGTGTTTTCTTGTATGTAGGAGGTCATGTGACAGTACATGTTAGGATAATTCAAGTATCAGTAAAAAATACGGGGCTGCCTGTTTGCATAACAAACTACAAACATATTTAGTGTCTTTGCAACCTACTATATGATCATGTGATGTTACAGGAAAATGGTTAAAACTTTAGTCTCCACAAAGAACAAAAACTCTTCATCTAAAATCTCAGCTAGATTCACATTAACCTACGGCTGATCTGGCTGCATCTTTTCATAAAACACAGAGCACAAATTTGTATTAATTCCGCTAAATTCCCAAACAAAGCTGCCCATATTCACATATTTTCTGCTTCAGAATCCTAAACTTCACTTTCTGGAAGGAAAAGTCAGTGTTCATCCTGTTCTGACCTGAGTGTTTCCAGTCTGCAGTTTGGACTTTCCAGTCCTGAAGAAACATGTTTCAATCCTGAATCCTCCAGCTGGTTGTTACTCAGGTCCAGATGTGTCAGACTGGAGGACTGAGAGCTGAGAACTGAGGACAGAGCTTCACAGCTTCTCTCTGAGAGGTTACAGCCTCTGAGTCTGAGAAGAGAGAAAATAAATGGATTAGATCATCAACCAGTCAAACAGCTTTTGTAGATTTTCATATAACTTCTATGCTCATGAAAATAAGATTAAGAAAAATCACCAAAGAATTATATCAGAAACCTCTGTTTTCAAAAATGAAAAGACCAACAACAAAACTAAAGCTAAGTTCAGACATAATGATGCCGTTGTGACTGAAAGTCATGATTTTCATATGGAGACTTTCTGTCCATGCTCTTAAAAAATATTGTCTGTTCAAGAAACACAATTCTGCCTGTGTCTGAAATATATTAATAATCAGACTTGAGATGATATGGAAGCTTATCAATATGACGAATGACATCTGTAAGATTCTTTTGAACTTATAATTAAAGACCAGTTTCCTTGAAACTGAGTTTGACTGTGACTCAGCTGTTAGTCTCCAGCTAATAAGTGCCCACTTCAAAAGACATCAATCTGTGTGTGTACTCACAGAGCTTTCTTTGAGGCTTTGACCACTGGCAGCAGCCTCAGAAGAGCCTCCTCTGAAGCAGAATATTTCTTCAGATCAAACTCATCCAGATCTTCCTCTGATGACAGTAAGACGAAGACCAGAGCTGACCACTGAGCAGGAGACAGACTATGTGTGGAGAGACTTCCTGAACTCAGGGCCTGTTGGACCTCCTCCACCAGAGAACCATCATTCAGTTCATTCAGACAGTGGAACAGGTTGATGCTTCTCTCTGCAGACACATCCTCACTCAGCTTCTCCTTGATGTACTGAACTGTTTTCTGATTGGTCTGTAAGCTACTTCCTGTATGTGTCAGCAGACCTCGTAGGAGCCTCTGATTGGTCTGCAGGGAAAGACCCAGGAGGAAGCGGAGGAACAGGTCCAGGTGTCCATTTGGACTTTGTAAGGCCATGTTCACAGCACTCTGATGGAGCTGTGGGAGACTTGGTTTAAAGATCTGATTATACCAGGTCGAAATAGTTTTTGGTTCTTCGAGCAGGTTGAGTCCAGACCTGCTGAAGGTCAGACGGACGTGTAGAGCAGCCAGAAACTCCTGAACACTCAGATGGATGAAGCAGAACACCCGGTCCTGGTACAGCCCGCTCTCCTCTTTAAAGACCTGTGTGAACACTCCTGAATACACTGA